CCCCAAAACCCCAAAACCCCAAAACCCCAAAACCCCTTTCCATTTGTAATAAATTGAAAATAACAAATGGAAGAGTTTACCCCAAGGTATAGCTTCGAGAGCTGATCAGGTAAGTTTTCTCAGACAAGAGGTCATCAGAGGAGATAGTGGGTATTGGGGGATTTTTAGGTGGGGTTTCTAAGGAGATAGGAGGGTGGTGTGAAGAGGTTTGGAGGTAGAGTTGTTTTGAGGGATTTGAAAATTTTGTAATGATTTGAGATGGTTGGGGTGTTAAGGATTTAGGTTGTTTTATGGGGTATTTATAGAGTTTAGAAGTTTGGTTTTAAGAATTATGTTGTATAGGTTTGTTATTACAGGAGTATATAAAACAACGAGAGGAGAATGCGTAGGTTTAAATTTTATTACAGTTGGGTTTTCGAAAAGTTCAATTTGAAGACTTTTAAGTAGAATTTTGATATTTTTGGTAGTAAAAATAATAAGAATGAGGAACCGGAGAAGAATTTAGAAGTGGAGAAAAATAAGGATAGAAAATCTTTTAGACAAAATTTAAGAAAACAAAACTTTTTATCATGAAAAGTTATTAATCAAGCAAAAGGATTAAGCTATGATAATATTGATAAATTCATTGTTCAAAATGGTCCTGTTTAAAAAGCCTACTTCAAAGCTCTCTGATAAAATTGAAAAACTTGGCCAGAAGGTACTCCCAATTCAACCAAACAACTTCATAAAATTTGATGATTCGTCATCAGAAAGGACTTCCGAGAATGAGCCAGTTGCTAACCTCCCCTCAGAACATCCTAGGTCAGTCTTTAACTGATCAAAAGTAGGTATTCTTACTAGCTTCGATTAGGGGATTAAGTCCAAGGACTCTCAGAAAACTGTTCATTCAATGGAAGAAGGCGTTGAGAGGGTCAACAGTAACCTTATAATTTCTGATATAATTTAGTGCTGATTGATAAGAAAATTTCGAATGAGATCCGCTCTGTCAAAGGAAGGCTAGCCCAGCCCTCCTTTGCCAAGACTGAAACTAAAAGAAAGATGATTAACGATAAAAGAAAAATGTATTATACTTCAAAGTCAAATGTCTTCTCGATGGTAAACAAAGAAGTCAATGTGAAGGATCTAAGAGATTCAAAGCCCATAGTTCCTAAACCTAGCACAACATTAAAGTTAAATAAAAAGATTGGGAAAAGGAAGGTTAAGATCCAGCTTAAGAAGAATTCATTGAGTATTCCTAAATTTGATCCTGCTGATATTTCTTCTGGCCTAAGTGATATCACCAAGTCCTATATTCCTGACTTTGGTTATGCAAACCAACTGGAGTTCGACAGACAGCATGGGTGGGAACTTGTGCTAGATTTTATCTCAAAGTATCCTCGGAGGGCCAAGACTGCTAACACAATAAATGACCTGATCAAGAAGAAAGAGATTATTGTATTGTAAATTTTTACCCCAATAGAGCCAAAAGAGGAAGGATGTCGTCAAAAACAAGAATTTCATCAGGTAATTTCCTAGATTTAGTTTTAGGTTTATCAATCAGCCGGAGGACAGGAAGTCAAACTACCCCATAATTGAAAGAATGATCAAAATTAGAGAAGATTTCGAGAACTTTTATGATGAGTTTGTTGAATTCTCAAGAGATTTTTACATCATGAAGGGTACAATCAAAGCACATCAGCGGAAAGTGAAGTGAAGAGTCAGGAAGCTGCTTGAGTGGAATGATATGAGAGGCTCGAAAATGTAAGATTAGGAGATTATTATAGCAAAATTAACACAGGTGAATCCTCACACATTCTTAGTAAATTCTCTTCAAATCTCCAAAACGAGTAGGAGAAATTGTCCTTAAAGATTTTTAGCGAAAGTTCCAGTGATTCTAGTGTCAATACGAAAAGAAAGTAGGTTTCAGCTTGAAATCAATAGAAAAATGATACAGCTCGAACACCAAATGTCAATGTATTGAAGTTAGCTCCTAAAATTTTAGGAAATTTGATGAGTATTACTTTAAGCATAAGAGAGTGCCAGTTGGACTGAATAAAAAGAAAAAGCATCTCTCTGACAACAACTTTGGAGCCAAGAAACCAGCCATGAATGCTGAAAGTGAGGGCTGGAACGGGGACCATTCTGAAAAGGATTCTAAAATAGTGTCATCATGCGATAACGGTAACCTTCAAACTTAAAGATTAGAATTTTTGAGGAAATCTCCTATCAAGAAATCGAATGATCCTGCTTTTTTAAAAGAAAAGAGGATTATGAGTCATGATTTTACTACAAGGCAAGCTGAAAGTAAGTCAATTCTCCCAAGAATAATTCCTTTCTGTTAGAATATTCAAAATATTATTTAGAGCTTTACAAAGGAGATTGAAAGAAGGACACACTAGTAAGAAACCAGGATTTATTATTTAGGAACCTTTCCTAAATGCTCAGAGTATTTACATGAAGAATTTAGTCCAGAACTTCCAAAGAATGATCAGTGTACTTAAATAGCCAAAATGCCAACAGCGATCTCAAAAGCCTTGATAGAATAAAGGAAGAAACACAGGATGATCAATATGCCTCCAGTAGGTTACTAACTCTTGTTTATTCTTCTGAAGATTTTTCTCGAATAAATTTATACCTCTCACGATCTTCAAGAGTATTGGTTTTAAAAATAAAATATTCATTTAGAGTTATTTAGGGCTGTCAAGTCATTTTAATTCAGTCAAAAATATCATCTCAAGATATCCTATATTACTTATGGTTGCAATATCTTTACTTCTAGGCTCAAAAATATCAGAGTAAGACAGAACCTGACCCATATTAGATTGCTAAACTCTCTTTCAGTCTCAAAACTTGAGTGTAGTGTCAAGGATTTCATGGTATTTTGTCACTTAAATAACTCATCTAGTCACAAATAGTTGAAAAACTTAACGAAATGCTTGGAAAAAGTACTAAATTGTGTTATTTTTAGACGAATCTGAGCTAAAATATTTCAAAAATAACCTTCAAAGGCTAATGTCCTCTTATAAATCTGTCAATTCCCCCAAGCCTGTTCATAAACGAGTGAGGAGCCATACAAGGAAGGTGGAGATAAGCAGGAATTTTGGCGATGCTTCCAAAACTATTAAGATGAAACCGAGGCTCATGTCGCCGAGAATCAAGAATTTTGTGAAGCTGAATTTGGGACAGAGCAAAAGATTCAAGATTAAGGGAAGAACAAGATTTAAGAGAATTTATCTCAGTATTTTCTTGATTCATGGCTTTTAGATGATTATATGAATCCATCTAGTATTAGAAAAAGGATGAATACTAGGTATAAAAAGGATGCCAGATCTAATGTGTTCACTCCTCCTAGTACAAGGCCTCAGACAATGACGCCATTCACAGTAGGTTCCAAAGAAGATCTTGTCTTAAAATAAGATAGCTTCTGATGTAAGTTTCATTCTTCAAGTCTAGACAATATCCGAATCAGGAGATATCTCTACAAAAGTTTCAGTACTAAAGAGATCTCAGTTTAAAAACTCAGTACTCTCAACCTCAAGGAATCAGGCATTCCACAAAGTAGGCAAATGCTTCAGCCCAGAGATGGCGCTTCGGACTTGCTCGGACAGGTTCAAGTATAAATAACCAAGCTTTATTAAGAATAAAAATTTAAGTCAACTACAGATATAGCCTAGGGGTTTTGGGGTTTTGGGGTTTTGGGG